ATAAATTGGGATTGATTGACGTATTCAATTGTTTTCGGTCACTTCCAGTTTCACCGAAAATGACGACAACTTTTTAATTTTTAAATGGCATCCTCGGTATTTTTTTACTTTATTCGATAGAAAATGACACTCTCAATCGAATGACATATTGTATGTCAATTTTTGACATAGTCATTCAAAAACAAATTCTATTTTAAATTTCAATCTAGAGTGACATGGCTGTGTTAAAAACACCAATTTTTAATTAAGGAGCCTTGGGAAATAGATTTGATCGTCTAATGTTTTTAGTCTCTTGTCCTGGCCGGTTAAAAGATGCCCAAATCGTATTTTTAATCAGATCTCATTTTTTTCAAATGGAACGAGGATGGCTCATTAGCATATTTGGAAAAAGCATTTTTTTACGAATAATTTAATACCACACACTTGGTATTTTGAGTCAAATAGTCGTTATGAACCGCATGTTACAATTTCAAATAAACCATATGCCAAAATGTCAAAAGTTGACATATGATATGTCATTCGATTCAGAGTTTCATTTTCTATCGAATAAAGTAAAAAATACCGAGGGTGTGATTTAAAAATCATTTCCGGTGAGACCGGAAGTGACCGAAAACATTTGAATACGTCAATCAATCCCAATTTATGTCATATACTAACATACCAAATATCGTTTTTTTATCTGAAAAAATAAAAAAGTTATAGGGGTGAGCCACTTTTGAGACGCACCCGGTATATTAGTATTACCAATTACAATTAAAACACCATGGTTAGAACAGAACTATTAAATGGAGAATTTAGAGATAATTGAGCTAGGTCCTATGATTTAACTTCTTTCGACTTTTTTATGGAGAAAATTAGAAGACCTAATATATAAAAACCATTGGGACAGACAGAGAAGAATTATAGAAGGCTACTAGGCAAGCCTTTTGGACTTATACCAGTTCGCCTAATAAATCGATGTAACTCTGAGCGTAAAAGATGTTTATTGTGTATTTAACAAGCAGGTGCTCAGTTTGAACATTTTTAATGATTTTTTTAGAAAACTATATTCGTCACTCAAAAAATACGTTTTTTTAATTTTGTTCTTTGTTTACTGTATCGATTTCAATTGTAATTACTAATACTAATATAGAATATTAATTTACCTTTTAAAGATAAAAAACCCTAATATTTCTCTCACTCTTAGAAATAAATATCCATAACTTTATATCGTTGGAAAGGATTAAATGCCAGCATTTTTTTAAGTTCATGGCTAACTATGATTTTCATTTAAAAATTATATTTTTTATTATTTCTAAAAAAAAAACAGCAAGCATGGAAAAAACTGACTACGCCACTGGATTGTTCTTAAAAAAGTGCCTTAAGAACGTTTTTACAGAATTTTATTATTCCCCGAAATAAAAATATATTAGGCAATTTTCAAACTGGTAAAAAATTCAAAAAGACACCGTATCTCAGTTGGCAGTGAAAATATCAACAAGCGGTTTATGCCATTAAACGTGTCTCAGAAATCGAGCCCATGATATCCCATGAGTTTTGCTCTATCTAGTCAGGAAATAGGTTTTCTCTGTTAAAACAGACCAAGTCGAATATCGACCACCCTATATATGAAATATTTTTAGATTTTTTGATATTTGAATGATTGTATAAAATAGGATTTTGCATTTAAAATATAAATAATAAATAAATAAATAAATGCCTTTATTGTCAAAAATTTTTTCAATTTGTAGACAAAGGTAAACTAACAAACAAAGTAAAAAAGAAACAAGGTACACAAACAAACAAACAAAAGATAATATAAAAAATTATACGAATAATATTGTCAGTCTTATTGTTAAAATAAACATTTATAAATGTTTACAATGCCAAAGAACAAAAAAATAAAAATAATATTCAAAAATATTTAGCTAGTTTATAGTAAAATATCAATGACCTCTAAATAAATTCATTTCGATGTCATTAGTAAATATAGCAATAGCAAACATTAGACCAGTGTTTACAAGATCAAATTCGATTTTCAATTCAAATATAATTCATTTACGGCGTAGAAAGCCTTATCTAGTAAATAAGAGTTCAATGCTTTGCGAAATGAAAAAAATAATGTTATGGATCTGATTTCAAATAGCAGGTGATGCAGGTGCATTTTTTTCGAGTTGTATAATATTGAACTTTTAACTAACTCTGAGCGTGGGGTAGGTAAATAAAGATCTTGCTCCGCGTTCCTGAGTGGATAAGTGTGAGATGGCCTTTCTTGAGAAGCTGATACATGTTTACGTATTAGAAGGGTATTAGGCAAACGGATTCAAATATAAATAAGGAAGGAAGAGTCAATATTTTTAATTCTTTAAAAAAGTCCCGGCAATGAGTTCTGCTGTTTAGTCCCAGAGAATATCGAACAGCTCTCTTCTGGAGCTAGAAAATGCGGTCAAATTGAGTCGCACAACACGTACCCCAGAATGGAAGGGCATACCTGAGGTGCGATTCAAAAAGTGCATAATAAACAGTTCTAGCCACTGACAAGTTAAGCTACTTAGAAACAGACCTTAATGCAAAACAGGCAGAGCTCAATTTTTTCGACAAAGCTTTGATATGTATGTCCCATTTCAGAGAATTGTCCACAAGCCCTAAGAATTTTACAGATTTTACGACCTCAATGGTGGTGCTGTAAAGTACAAAAGGTTGCAACGAGTTTTTATACGACAAAGCTTTAATTTTAGAAATGTTGAGACTCAGGAGGTTCGAATCACACCAAGATTTAATGGTGATTAAGTCACTTGATATAATCCTATGAAGTGCCGTTATGTCCTTGTTGCTCCAAGTGAAGCTAGTGTCGTCCGCAAAAAGACATATTTTGCTACTGATGTTTATGTATGTCGTTAATAAAAAGGAGAAACAAAATAGGGCCTAGTACTGAGCCTTGTGGTACTCCACATTCTATTGGCTTGCTAGAAGACAACGTGGTATCCACCCTCACAAGTTGACTTCTGTTGCTCAGATCCGACTTAAACCATTCGAGAGATGATCCCCTGAACCCATAGTGCTGCAGTTTATTAATTAGGATCTTATGATTTACACAATCGAACGCCTTAGAAAAATCAATAAAATTAAAAAAGTTGGTATTAATTACAGTTACATATCGTCCATGTATGTATTTTTTGTAATTATAATGACTTAATTTTTTTTGAATTGTATGATTGTATTGTGTATTTTTTGTTGTTTGTATATATTTTTTTGTGCTTTTGTTTGTTTTGTGATTGCTTTGTCGATGAAGCTGTTTTGGCTTTTTGCACAATAAAGCGTTGTTTGTTGTTGTTGTTGTTGTATCAGACCCTATATATAAAAAGCTTTTGTTGAAAAAATTGAGCAAATAAAAATACCACCGATCGACGTATTCTAGTATTTTTTTAAAAACCTTTAAATGCCTTCAGTGTAATTATATTAATGAAAAATTAATCAAATCAGTTGTTTTAATGTGAAATTTATAAGTGTATATACTAAATATCAGCAAAATATAAATTATCTGGTATACATGTTTACTAATCGGTGTAAAACAAAGGTCTAAAAGACAACACCCACTTAAAAAATCTAGATAATAACATTTCTCAACGCAAATTCTATAATGTAATATTTTAATTATGTAGGCATTGTTATAAACCAAATAAATTTTATTTAATATCTCCGTAGTTATCTAACAAATTCCGCAATGATAATGACTTTTGCTATCAGCAATGATTTGCCCAGAAATCAATAAGTGTTCTCATTAATTACATCACAGTATTAATACCGTAGTAGAAATAATAGTGCGTAAACTAGAAAGAACTGGAATTCCAAATTTAAGTTTATATTTACAACAAAAAATTGACGCACGATTAACATATTTATTTATTTTTTAAGGGTTTCCACACTTAGCTAAATTAGTTCACTTAATCCCGTAAGGATCTTATTGAAAACATGACAAGTACCATTTACTCAGATTTTATACATTTTGTTTCGTTTTTACTGACTTTTGTTTGTTGGAGTACAATACAATTCAAAGAACAACTGTATTGAACATTAGATCTGGGAAAATTACCCGAAAACTATTATACTGAAGAAGCATTACCTTAAAACAACTGACTGAAATTAATTTAATTAATTTCAGTCATTTAATCCCAAATCATATACACAATGATAACAATACACAATATATACAACTTACAATTCCATACATACGAGGCGTTTCGGAAAAAATAAGAATGATAGGAAAACAATATAACATACGAACATCTTTCAAAACACAAAATACACTGAGATTCATTTTATCACATACTAAACCAATGAATACAGAACAACAAACAAAAAATGTAATATACCAAATACCATGTGAATGCGATAAATTTTACATTGGTGAAACATCTAGACCCTTAAATGTTAGAATTAAAGAACGTAAAGATTATTTAAGAAAGGGAGACTTTCACAAATCTAAGATTTGTCAGCATTCATGGGACACAGGGCACAGAATAAATTTTAATAACGCCAAAATTATAATGAAAGAAGCAATAACCTCTAAAAGAAAAATAAAAGAGGTTTTTTTAATTCAATCTAATAAAAATAAATGTATTGCTCATGCATCTGTAGATGTTAGTAATGTATGGCAATCGCTTCTTTGATTTTAAAAAACATAACATAAATAAACATAACATACGTAAAATTTAAAAATAATCATACAAAAAGTTTGGGTCTTTTTGGTTTTACCTTATTAAGTAATTGTTATCAGGTAGTAATTGTTAATTTTGAAGTTTAACTTGATGTAATGTCATTTTAACAGAACGTCAAGGGTTTCTTGTAGACGTATCTGTTTTAAAAAAGTAAAGTGTTCTCGAAAAGTTGAATTTAAATATTTTAAATAGTTTTTTTCTTTATTCTTTGTATTTTTTGCTTGCGACTCAATCATTACTACAATCTATTACTATTCTATTTATAATATAGTAAAGTATAGTTCTATTTTCTATTTTACTTACTGGAAGAATTCCATTTTTGACACTAGGAGCAGGAGCCCTAAAGTAAACGCCAAAATGAAAGTTCCTATTAGGAAGTACATTAGTGCTGCGTCGTTAACATCACTGAAAATGGCAACGGAAATGACGTTTAAAATATCGCAAACGATACCACTCGCAGCCTCTCCCATCATGCAAGTTTTCATGTAATTGTGAGGGAATTTGGGATAGAGCATCGTGGAGCTGAAGATATTGACAACATTTCCAGCTAAAACCATAAAAAGATCAACTTCATTACAGAAAAAAGTAAATTTTATAAATTGTGACAAATACATATTATATCGTCAGCATTAAATATACAGGATGGTCCGAACTGTATTCCGGAAACTTCAGCAGTATACTCTGAAGATAAAAATAAGTAAAAAAGTTCGTATAAGTTATGTCCTAAAATGCTTAGTATCGGATATACAGGGTGTAGAAGTTTCATTTTTATTTCGATTATTTCCAAATAATTTCTGATATAACGTCAATATTTCGATGAAAATTGGTGTCTGGGAGTTTTGTGACACGAGAAATTTGATTTTGATGTCAAAATGACTCCTATTTGTAGGGGCGCTACCTACATGTGTTTTAACTGTTTTAAAGCGTAATAACTTTTCGTCCGTACCGGTATAAAACTGCTGACTAAAAAAATATACATTTCCATGACTTTTTACGTAAAAAATGTATCTTGGTAAAAATCGCTACAAGCAACCGTTCTCAAGATATTTAGAATGGAAATAATCAATACATGTCATTATTGACAAAAAATAAGCACACGCTGGGTATAGCTATTTGACTGAAATAATAAATTTTTATTTTTTTAAATTAATCATATTTTTTCCTGCGAAAAAATGATTAAACAATTTCTGTTAAACTTTTTGCACAAAAAGATTTCAAATTTATGATTTCAGTTTAATAACTATTTAGTCAACATGTTTAATTATGTCAATAATGACAGGTATTGATAATTTCGATTCCAAATATCTCGAGAACCATTACTCTTAGCAATTTACCAAACCAAACCAAGAGACCTTTTTTATGTAAAAAAGTCGTAAATGTATATTTTTTTACTTAGTAGTTTTATAAAGGTATGGACGAAAAGTTATTACTGTTCAAACTAGTTAAAAAATATGTAGGTGGCGCCCTCTACAAGTAGGAGTCCTATTGACATAAAAATCAAATTTCTCATGTCAAAAAACTCCCAGACGTCAATTTTCATCCAAATATTGACGTCACTTCAGAAATTATTTGGGAAAAATTGAAATAAAAATGAAACTAGACATTTTAGAACATACATTTATACGAAATTTTTTACTAATCTTTATGAGCAGAATATGCTCCCGAAGTTTCCGGATTACTCTTCGGACCACCCTATATATGAAAAGTTTTGCATCACCTTGCATCTCCGAAAATAAACTTCCTTTCATTAAGACTAGACTAGTGACGAATTTATTGATCATTTTTATTGAAAAAAAAACTTTCTTTTTTTCTATTATATTTTATTTTAATAATTATTATTTCTTCTTCTTTCACACTTAAAAATGTATTCTTATAAAAATAAAGCAGTCATTTTCAAAATACTTTTCAACAGGGTAAAATAGTAGACATGACTCTCATGATATAAAAATATTCAATTTAAAAAAAGAAAAAAAAATATTCAATTCGACATACAGAAGGTGTCCCATTATTCCATGAACATAGAACTAGTGCGTTTTAAATAATTTCAGCATTACTTACCAGTTAATACAGCTGAACTCAACAAAGCAATACCAAAAAATGTAGCTTGGTCTAAAACAAACAGTTATTTACTTAGTACTTTGAAAAAAAAACGGTTTTGTAAATAGGAGGGTTGCCTTTAATATTTTGCATATAGAAACATAGTAGGCGCCTGTCAATATATATCAAAAATTAACTGTCATTTTTAGTTAACAAAACGCAAAAGCTTTAGACCGCTTCAGATATAAAACCGAGAAAATTTTCGTGCAATAATTTTTTACAATTTTCAACAAGAATGCCTTGCCGAGCTAGTTCCTCTTTCGGCAATGAAGCACCACATCAGTCGACAATTTCTCGTTGGTATGGATAATTTAAACGTGGATGGATTAGTCTTAGCGACGATCCAAGGACATATCCACCAATACCTGCAATCAATAGTACGTAAGCTGATCTATACAGAGTGAGTTTTCTACGATGTTCTCTATTGGTATCTCGGAAACTACTGAAGACAGAGAGTCGGTTAAATGGGGAAAGAATTGCAGGTTTGTGGGGTCATAAATATGCGCCTTTCAGATTTTTGACAAAGTTAAGGCTTACTAGATATTTCGAAAAGAACAAATTTCGGCCCTATATGGTCCCTAATTCCATTATAATCTATTTTAGACAAAAAGTTTTCACTTATAATATCACAAGAGCTTAAATTATTTTCGGAAATTTTTTTGAGGGCACGAATATTTTGAAAATTATCCCGAGTCGAAGACGAGGGATAATTTTCCTAAAATATTCGTGCCCGAAAGAAAATTTCCAGGAATAATTTAAGCTTGCGTGGTATTCGGTAAGAAAATTTCACACCTAAATTTGAAAAAAAATATTAATCCAACATGACATTTTAAAATAATTTCAATTTGTTAAGTTGGCCAAGGTATTGATGTTTTTGACATATTATGTATTTTGTCATTTTTGTTTGCGATTCTGTCATTAAGCTATTACTAGTTTTAAAACGTCTGTACGTAGAGTAAGAAGTGTATAGCGAAATGTCGCGATTTGGAAAAGTAAACCAACAAGTCATTAAAGAAGAAATTGAAAATATAAAACCAGATAACACCCGAAAATCAAAATCAAGTGTATGGAAACAGTTTGTTGAATTTTGTGATGAAAAGTCGTATAATATTCATGAGTGTATGAGTGTAGTACAGCTGGCTACTATACTGGAGGACTACGCATTTAATATGAAAAAGAAAAATTTTGAAGATTATAAGGAAAGTGTGGTCAAAGTGATGTGGAACTCTACTGCTAAGCAGTTGCAAGAAATTTATTACGAAAAATATAAAATAAAATTTAATCCGTTTTCTGATGTGGAATTTGTGACCGCCAGAGCTGCACGCGATGCTAAGCGCAAAATACTACAGAGAGATTCAGCAAAAAGAAAAGTGAGTGCTTCAGCCTTAACCAGTGACGAATACAAAAAAATTATTGAAATGTGGGATGAAAATACTCCAGATGGGTTGCAGCGTAAATTTTTTCACATAGTTTCACATGAGCTGGCATGGAGAGGAGGGGAAGGACATTCTGCTTGTATCCAATACTTCAAAGAAGAAACTGATAATTTCGGAAACCCAAAAGGTCGGATAGAATATAATCCAATTTTCTCTAAAACCACACAAGGTGGTTCTAAAAAACTGTCGGATAGTAAATGGTTGATTAGAAATTTCGAAAATCCACAAATGTGTCCGGTTCGCTTGTTTAGAAAGTTGATGGAAAAAAGGGGAAATCTTATTCAAACCGACAGACTATTCTTAACACCAAACCCATACTGGAATCAACCCAATTCGAAAGGATGGTACAAGAATAGCCCAGTTGGTAAGAACATTGTATCTTCATGGTTTAAATCAGCAGCTTCAGATATAGGAATTGACACTAAAAAAGTTAAAATAACCAATCATTCTGCAAGAGCAACAGCTGTTTCGAATTTGGCCAAGAAAGGAGTTGGTGAACAACAGCTCATTAAAATTACTGGACATAGTAATAGTCAGTCGATCAAACCTTACTTACAGTTGGACGCTGAACATCATCAACAGATGATTGAATCCATGAGGAGCATTTCATCAAGTACTAGCCAGTTCAATCATGATCAGAGCACAATGCAAAATAAAACAGAAAATACCCAGATTCAAACCACCAATTCAAGCCAGCCTACAAACATTTACAATAATTGTGTTTTTAATATTAATAAAACCTATAATTACTAAATGTGTTTCGTTATTATTTTGCTATATTAGTCGATATCATTAAAGATTTGGCATTGAAGATAATTCAACATGAAATAAATTCTAAAAAAATCATATAGATATATCCATCATATTTCGTTAAATAGAAAAATACCAGCTTTAGTTAAATAAAGGCGGCAGAACTATATTTTTTAGAACATGGCAATTTCGAAGAAATTCATATGTAGGTATATCTAACATATTTCCTTAAATAAAAAATATTACCAACCTTAGTTACATCAAATGCTAAAACTCAAATGGGTAATATTTCAATATATAGACATTGTAGTTCATTCACATTATGATTGTAGATCTTATGTTTACCTTTTCAACTGTCAAAAAATTTCCACTAAAGTTTCGTGGCGCCTCGAAAAAATTTCCGGAAATTTTTTCAGTTGCCATGGTAACTAGTCAACATTAAAGCATGTTATTGGTTGAAAAGTAGAGGTGTGAAATTTTCAGATAAAGGTCATAGATAATCACATCCTTAATGAGATTGTGTTCTCCGTTTTTTTCTAAAGCCTGTCATTTTTGACATATGATACAAACTTGTGTTTTTTAAAAGGAAACCATAGTTGGCCATGACTTCATAATCATTTTTTAAGCGATATAAGCTATAATATATGTTTTAAAATTACGTTAGAGTTATATCAAATTATTATCTTTCTTGACTAATTTCACTTAGTTGGTATGGTATTCTTATTCTGTTATTTATTTAATTAGTATAATTTATAACTTGACAGACAGAATAATTTATTAAACGGTTCTTTACAATTTATTTTACATAAACTAAAACTTAAAAAAATATTATCTCTACATATGCTTTAGGTTATTTTAGAAAATGTACAAAAAATATACCGCATAAAAGCTAAAATGGATAGGTCAGGTGAACGAGGAGGCCCATGCAATTAGTTCAACTCTTCCTATCCCTGAGTTTGAATAATTATGATATAAATAATTTTTAACATTTCTTTCGTTATTGGGGGGAGGAGAGTGTCACTGTGAAAGTCATGTTAGAACCACTCTATTGATTAGCGTATTTAACGTATCCTCGAAAACGTATGGCCAAGAAAAGTTGAACCAATAATCTTACATGCTTTTCTTCATTTGAAAAATTTATATTTACAATTTTTGGTTATTTTAATTTACAATGTTTGGATGTGACAGTTTGACATTTCTAAGAGCAAAGACGATTGAACTTATTCCCATGGCTAACCAAGTGAATTGTTTAAAAATGATAAGAATTGACTGTAACTCAGCAATTTTTCAAAAAAAAAACATATTACCTATAGCTTATATCGCTGAAAAGCTTATTGCGCTTTTTATGAAGTCATGGCCAACTATGACCCTTTAAAAATATATAAGTTTGTGTCATATATCAAACATGACAGGCTTTAGAAAAAATCGGAGAACACAAACTCATTAAGAATATGATTATCTACAATTTTTATCTCAACGCTTTTTGTCTATAATATATTATAATGGAATTAGGGACCATTTTTAAAATACCCGAAATTTGTTTTTTTTTTCGAAATATCAATTTTCAATCAAATTTTTGAAAAAGTTCACGGCTTACTAGTGAACTTTTTCAAAAATTTGAAAGGCGCATATTTATGATCCCACAAAACTGCAATTCTTTCCCTCTTTAACCGACTCTCTGTCTCCAGTAGTTTCCGAGATACCGATAGAGAACATCGTAGAAAACTCACCCTATATATCCTGAAATGTATGCATCATTGGCATTATCAAAGACCTCAATTTACAAAATTTTACATGAAGAATTATCTGTGAAAAAATAGGTTCTCGTTGAATACCACATCTATTGACGGAAGAACAGAAAGCAATTAAGAGTCAATTGTTGACAAAAAAACTCTACAGTGCTATCAGTGGTGATGAATCTTGGATTTAGTTTCATGAACCCGAAAATAAATTTCAATCGGCTGATTGGGTGTTTCGAGATGAACTAAAACCGACAAACGTTTTTCGTTTTCGAAGTGTTTCTAAAAAGATGGTTTGCGATATTTGTTTCAAAAACTGGTCATATAGCAATAATTTCTCTGCCAGATCAAAGAACTGTTACTGCTGATTGGTATATATCTATTTGTTTGCTGGAAGTAATTGCTAAGTTTCGAGAAATCAACCCTCAACAATGAATTATCCTTCACCAAGTCATTGCAAGTTCTCACACAGCTGGAGAAACAAGTGAGTTTTTAAAGGAAGAAAACATCGAATTGTTGGCCTATCCTCTTCAGATTTCCAAAAATTAGGAATGAGCTGCGTGGTCAATGGTTCCAGTCCCCAGAAAATGCAGTCAGCGCCTCCAAAATCGCAATTTTGAAGGTACCAACAAGTTGTTTCAGAATTGGTTCCAGCGTACGCAAAAATGCATTTTTTTCCTAAAGAATTCTTCGAAAAATAATGGTGTTTAAAAGTTATCTACTGTTTTTTTCTACCTCTATATGCAATATATAAAATATAACCCTCGTATCTTCCACTCACAGCTATCGGTGTTTATTTCGACAAAAGCCGTCAAAATGGCAAACACGGTAGTCTCGATAATCAGAGTAACGATTATTTTCGGCATCATTTTGAACCTGTGGCCGTAGAGCACGTTCCATATGCCCAATAGAACCCATGGAACCGTGTTGATGACAGACCTTGCTGAGGAAAAGTACGACTGCAAAGCTGTTCGGTTATCATCGGATTCTGTTGTGTCAGATACGTTTCGAAATTTGTGTAACCAGAACTAGAAAAGATTACTGTCAGATAATTTGCGCAAACCTATATTTTCAATTACACATTCAGTTAGTTGGTGCCTTTGGATAAAAAGATTAAGGCGAAGGAGTATAATGCTATTCAAGTATTCATAGGGTGGCAATCCTGGACAGTTCTGTTTCGAGCTGACACATTTGAATTTTATTTAAAATTTTTGATTTGTCAGTCTTTACTGAGCTTATTTTATGTTATTTATTATTTATTCTACAACTGGTATTTGTTTAGAGGTAGTAAATCTAGAAGAAAATTTGGGGCAGAATTTAAATTACCAGTGACACTATTGTAATTTATCGAAAAAGACTCTAAAACAGTTGGTTGTGTAGCGTGCGGTAGATCTCGAGGTAGACCTCTCCAAAAATCGAGGGAAATAAAGGACTAACTTTCCACTAGTAAGTGACTATACAGAGTGGTCCGTACTGCATTCCGGAAATTTTGGCAGTATATTCTCCACATAAAAATAAGTAAAAAGTTCGTATAAATTTAATCCTATATTGCTTCGTTTCGGAGATACAGCGTGTAGAAGTTTCATGTCCTTATTTAGATGAAAATTGGTATCTGGGGATATTTTAAAATGAGAAATTTGATTTCGATATCAATATGACACCTACTTGTGGGGGGCGCCACATACATATTTTTACTGTTTTGGAGGGTAATAACTTTTAGCCCGTCCTTGTATTACACTACTGAGTGAGAAAATAAACAATTATAGCTTAAATTTTACGTAAAAAATGTCTCTTAATAAAAATGAATTTTTTAAGTTATTTAAATTCTTAATAATCAATACATACCATCAATGACAAAAATTAAACATGTTCTCTTGATGAGATCTTTGAGTAAATTAATAATTTTCGAAACGTTTTGATGCCAAAGATTCAACAGAAGCTGTTTTAAAACCTAACTGTGAATTTTCTCGAAACTTCGTAATTTTTGAAAAATATTACGAAATTATTATTTTCTCTAAAAAACTGCTTGTTTTATACTAAATACGATTTTTCAAAAATCGCAAAATTTTTAGGAACCTTACAGTTAGGTTTCAAAACAGCTTCAGTTGAACCTATGGTACTACAATGGCTCGAAAAAATTCTTAGTTCAGTCATTTTTGTCATTGATGACATGTATTGATTATCAAGATCGCCACGCATCACGACTATCGTAAATTCTTCGAGGCTGTAAAAGAAGTATACGGTCCAACTAAGAAGGCAAGGTGCCCAATCATGGCACAAAATGGCGAACTTCTAAAAGAGGAAGAGCAAATCAGAAACCGCTGGAAAGAGCATTACAGCCATATCCTTACCAAGAAAACAACCCCAATATGGAAGCACTCAACATAATACCTCAGTATAACAGCCTCGGTGTATTAGACATTCCAATAACAGAACAGAAAATAAAGGACTCCATAAAACAGCTTAAAAACAACAAATCAGCTGGCTGTGATGCGATTCCGGCGGAAATCTATAAGTGTGCAAGTAAAGAACTTATTGGTCATCTTAAGGCTCTCTTTGGTGTCATATGGGAAAGCGGGGAGGTACCTCAGGACTTTTGCAACGCGAATATAGTGAATATATTTAAGAACAAAGGAAGTGCATCAGACTGCGGAAACTACCGAGGAATTTCACTACAGGCTATCGGAGGAAAAATTCTTGCAAAAATTATGTCAAACCGCCTGCACCCACATATAGAAAAAATCCTCCCAGAATCGCAAACGGATTTTCGCACCAACCGCGGTACCGTCGATTCCATATTCTCCATCCGGCAACTACAGGAAAAAGTAAAAGAGCAGCAGTCTAAACTTTACGTTGCATTCATCGATCTAACAAAAGCCTTCGACTCTGTGAACAGAGATGCACTTTGTGCAATTATGAAAAAGTTTGGAGTACCTATCAAATTTCTTACAGTGTGTAAAAGCCTCCATAACAACAACAAATCAAGAGTGTCATATCATGGATCACCTGAGCGATCCCTTTCTAACAAACACAGGCGTTAGGCAGGGATGTGTCTTAGCGCCTCTCCTATTCAATATATTCATGGCAGCGCTCTCTATTATAGTGGACAGCAAACTGCAGGAGAGAGGATTGGGCATTAGATACAGATACGACGGCGGTCTGTTCAACATAAAAAGACTCAGGGCAAAAACACGTTCAAAATTCGTCACAGAACTTCAATACGCTGATGACTGTGCTCTAGTTGCAAATACGTTACAGCAGTTGCAAGAAATGTTGAACACATATAAATGGGCATACGAGGCCTTGGGACTTAAGCTGAACATCGATAAAACTAAAATCGGAGATGAGTTGTTGGAATATGTGGCGGAATTCAATTACCTCGGCAGTTTGATTTCGGAAAAGGCCAATATCGACTCTGAAATTCAGCACAGGATTAGCAGCGCCTCAAGAACATTCTGGAAATTAAAAGACAGGGTTTTCTACAATCATGACTTGAGCACAAAAACGAAACTTGCGGTGTACCGAGCGATAATAATTCCCACCATGTTATATGGAAGCGAAACCTGGGTGCCGTACCGAAGACATATGAACGCATTAAACAAGTTGCAACAGAGACATCTTAGACAACTCTTAAGAATAAAATGATTCCACCATGTCTCAAACGTATCGGTCCTTGAAAAAGCTAACTGCGAGAGTATTGAAGTCATGATTACAAAGTCCCGCTTAAGATGGGCTGGTCACTATGCAGAATGCAAGAAAACCGCATACCAAAATCTCTGCTTTACGTTGAGCTTGTAGACGGTAAGAGGAGGCCGGGTAGACAACTCAAAAGGTTCAAGGATATTTTCCACCAAAACTTAAAGGGAATTAACAAGCAGAATGAGTGGGAAGAGGCAGCTCACAATAGAACGGAATGGAGAAGAATTGTAAAGCCAGTTAACAGCGACAACCAAAAAGTAAAGAGGCAACAAAGCAATGAGATTTTTGAATGTCTGGAGTGCAGATAACAGATAACATTACGTATCGGGCTTTTCAGTCACAGAAAAGGTCATGAAAGAAAACGCCTTGCGTGACCATCTTCTGATGCGTGTCAAATACTCGTCAGCGAGTAATGGCGGTATGTATGATTATTAAGAATCCAAATATCTCGAGAAGTACTACTCTCTACTACGATTACTCAGTAGTGCTCAGTGGCATTTAAAACAGTTAAAAAAGATGTTGGTGGTGCCCCCTACAATTAGGAGTCATATTGATATCGAAATAAAATTTCCCATGTTAGAAAACTTCCAGATACTAATTTTCAACCAAATACCGAATTTGGTTTAATTTGGTTCGAAAATTATTAGGAAAAAATCGAAATAAAAATGAAACTTCTACACCCTGTATCTCAGAAACGAAGCATTTCAGGACATACGTTTATAAGAACTTTTTTACCTATTTTTATGTGCAAATATGCTGCCGAAGTTTCCGGAATACAGTTCGGACCACTCTGTATAATATACATACGTGTAGTAAACCGGTCATTTCTAAAATTCACTAAACATTACATAATTATACATTTTTTCTTGCATTTGCTTTTATTTACTAGGTGTTACTAGGTACTTGTCAAAGATTAGATGTCAAAGAATCAATTTTAATAACTATCAACATTTATTGACAACGTAAAATAAAACAACAAATTAGTGAATTTACTCTACATCATATTTTTACAATTTTTGATTAAAATTAGAACGGCACAGATAAACCGGAATTTAAGTCGGCCATTTTTGGTCCTCATAGCGCTCAAGTTTTTTGATCTGCTCCTTCCTTAATGTTTTTATTGAAAGTTTTATTTATAAAATCCTTTACAATTTGTTACTCTATGTAGAATTTTAATTAAAGTATATTATGACGTGCTATTTCCATTACTATTAACTGATATCTCAACCATTGCAAAGTAGCAATATTTTCTGTAATTTACAAGTGAGAAAATTCACTATTTTAAAATGACGTAGACGCTTATTAAAATAGCTTTGAGGACAATTTAAGCATCTCTCCGTTATTTACTGCAAAATTATTTCTTATTTAACTTCTTCCTACTTACATTATTTGCTGATGCGAGGAACGAAATAGGCAAGATGTGCACGATACCTAACAGGAAAAATAATATATGACATATTAGGTATTTATCTTTAGGAGGTGCCTTTGGTTCTGGTAGATCTTCTGTCCATGCGACTTCTAGAAGAATAATTATAAAAAGACAAATTGTTAATTATTTCGCTTGTTAATTATCTATTTGTTTTTAAAATGATAATATTCGACTGTAACAAATTACTTATTAAATAAAAAATTGTTTAAAAAACAGCTATTAAATTGGAGGATTTAAGGGACATGTTTGAAAAAGTGTAGTTAGAAATGTTGAAAACGTAATAAATAATTTGATCCAGTTTCACAAAATCTGTATTAAAATGACCGTGAAAATGACCGTCTGTCCGTCTGAGGACTCCATTCGGGTACCTCTATCCACGTGCCGAGTTTGGTTCCAAAAATAACTAACGTCGTTAAAAACTAAACGTCGAGGGCGTCATTCTGTAGACCGTCCCCCCTTATTGCCCCCCTGTAGCCAGTCCCCTATTATTAGATTTTTGTTGCGTTCCATTATTTTGAATAGTACAATGGTATTTATTGTGTATGACAGTTGTTAATGACAAAAAGGAGAATTGTATCGTTTACAGGTAATGTGTTGTTTTAGTCAGTTGTTTAGAATAATCAAACGTTAATATTAATTTAGTAGCAATATGACAGAACCAAAGTTTTTCTTTAAAAGTGATGGAAATGATGCCGAACCGAAGAACCCCACTTTTAAATTCAACCTAACGCGGTTTTCTTATCTATAGTGGCATTAGGAACCTAAAAAAATACTGTTTTTGCATTTACACGATTTAGAAAACCTGCAAATCCTGTATACCCTGTATAGAAAAATTGGCTGTTTCAGGTTAACTCCAGTTTTAAGATGGACCGAAGACTATGACCTTTGAAGGAATCTAATAAAGGCAGATCAATTCCAGGACATTACAAAAACCATTCGTCACTAGACAAAATTCACCGGGATACCCTTGTATATATTTTTTTTTTTTTTTTGGAAGACATTCAATACAACTGTATTTACCTACTTATCCCCAAAATATTCATTCCAAAATAAAGTTATTTTACTAATACATTTGATATTTATTTCATTTAAATTGTTAGTACTGATCCTATTCAACTAAAATCGACTCAAGCTTTAAACAAAGTGACATATTAATAAATCATTAAGCATTGCATTTCAAAATATAAAGAGAAAGGCTTGAAATAAAAGGAATGTATTTGAAAATCAAAAAGAAAACACTAATCTAATATATATTTCTTTAAATCAAATAGGCAGCATTTTATTCTAAATCTGATATAACCACTAACAATGACAATGATCATGTATGTTTTATATGTATGAGTGTATGCATAAAATCAATAGATGTCTTATTAATACAAGTATGACTATTAATGAGGCCAAAATATGTTTGATTTTATTTGATTCATTAGGATTTTTTTCATTTTACAACGTTTTTTCTCTCAGTGGGTTAACCAACCTGACTTTGTTTAATTCAAAATATATTAAAGAGCGCATACAATGAGTAAAACGTTGTAATATTCATACTAGTTTAACAATGTTATCTGTTAGTACAAATTCCTAACGCCTTTATTTGTAGGTATCTGTATCATGTGCCCCCTTATCTGGAGAACGAATACAGCAATATTGTCAATCAATAAAGCGATGATAATTTATTTTAATACAATTAACTGCCTACTATAAGTGCATAAAACAGCGTAGGTTTTTTCCTGATATATTTGTTATTGAGATACGAAACGTCTCCTTGAACAAAAATTCAAAATATGCCCTGTGATTATTAGTTTAGTTTTTATCTTAATAAGATGTTTGCTTGAATTTAGCTTAGAATTTGTCATTAGTTATTTATGTATTAAAGGATCTATCTTCTTCTTCTTCGTCTTCAGGCGTTGGCGATCTCCATGACTAAGTCGTTGAAGAGTTCTCTATCTTCTGCTACATGAAACAGCCTCTCCACCCCCAGACCGGTCCAGTTCCGTATATTTCTCAGCCATGACAGTTTCTTTCGACCTACCCATCTTCTACCTTCGGCTTTTCCTTGAATGATCAAACGAGGAATATAATATTTGGTGCCACGCATTTATGTGTCCGAAGTAGCTAACCTTGTGGCCTTGATGGTGGTTAAGAGTTCCCGATCTCTGTCTAGCTGTCCAAGAACTCTTCGTTGCTTGTATGTTCGGTTCAAGAAATCTTAAGGATTCTCCGGTAGCACCACATTTCAAAGATTTCTATTTTATTTATATTCTCGACTTTTAGCCAGTCAGAATGACTGGAGAATGTAATCTGTGAGGATCAGAAGAAGACCATAATAGATCTGAAAACTAGTAAATAGTAAAATAGTCTATAGCCATCTCGAAGATTCTAATCTAATCAGCATGACAAGAATGTATTCATATTATATAAAATATTACGTCAGAAGTACTGGAGGCTTAACTGCCATACCTCAAAAACTTGAACTTGTAGTACTTGTGGGAGATAAAAACCCTTTTATTTTGAAGAGTTTAATTAAAAAATTCTAGAGGTCTAGGTCGAGTACCTACCTTACGTATATTAGGCTGTCTACACGTGTTTGTTTGTACTGTCCTCTTGACAATATCACAGTTTTTTAGCTAGCGTGTAGTTTACAGAGCACGAACATTTGATCTGTCGCCACAAAAATAAAAAAACACGCATGAAGAGTATTTGCAGATTAAGGCATTTATAACAATGGCAAAGTTTACAGAATACTCTATACATTGCCAATAGTTACGGCAATAACTTATCTCTGTTCATTATGAGATTTAAAATATTATTGAACTTCTTTCTATAATTTTAAGAATGAAAAATAATGGAAATTGCATCAATCAACTCAATTGCTCCATCACATAAAATATATCTTGAACCCATAAATTATATTAGATAATAATTTTCAAATGAGAAACTTTATAAAAATACATATTTCAATATATTAACCACAGCAAGATTTGCGTTATGTGTAAAATTATCTAATAATTAGCTAAACAGTACCTACAAAAATATAATTAAGTTAAAAAAATAAATTTAAAACCAAACCAAACTAAAAAATTAAAAATTGACGTTGATTAATTTTAAGTGCTCCCAACTTACTAAACTAAAGATATTTAATTCGAATCTCAAGTCAGTATTGCTGTATGGTGCAGAGACCTGGAAATTACATCCCCATTAATTAACAAATTCCAATTTTTCATAAACCGCTTGTAGCATTTTATTTAAAATTCACATAATTAATATAAAGGTACAGAATTATTTTATTTAAATAATTCAAGTTTAAGTCCTCGCACCGAGATGGCATTCAGTCAGTTATTTCAGTCCGGTCGAAGTTTGTTCGTCACTTTATATCTGATCATCGTTTCACGTTTTGTCCCTACATTTCATAACGGGAATAAAAGAGGAATTTCCTGAATCCACACAAGTTTTCGATCCTGTCTGTCCAGAAATATCTTATACTACGATCCAGTTCTGGTAGCAGTTGACCACAACCAGCTTGAGACCAGAACGGATAAAAGGCCAGATTATTTAATTTTATATCTATAATTTAAATTCATTTTAATTCATTAAGCCCTTCAGGCATATTATACATATATTTAATTACTATACTCTGTTTTTTTTCTCAGGTAAGATTTCGACAGACGATGACAGAAGAAAAGCAGATGACGTCCCATACCAATCTATTTATTTTACTAAAAAAAGTTTCTAATAATTTTTAAGTTAACTATGGACGGGTTTAAATATAAATCCGTCATACGTCGTCTCTTGTTTTAACCAGTTTTATTGGTTTATTTCAAAAATGACAGATCGTATTTAAATTTTATTGGTTTGACGGAACGATGAACGACAAACGGATGCCGATGCGTATGAACTCGCCTTTAGATTTTTGATGCTTGTTTGATGTCTTGCCAAATTGTAGGTTATAATTTTGTGTCAACTTTTGTCAAATACCCTGCGTTTTGGAAGATGATGCATTTTGAATCGTGTTATTACGTGTGTTTTGTGTCTTTTGAAGTCAAGTGGAGGAAAAATCGAGTGAAAATTAACTGTAGACCCAGAGTACAGTTTATGGTTAATACTCGCTGCCCAGGCAGAAAGTCTTAAACACCAATAAAGTTACCATCAATAAAGTTCGTATACCATCTCGTCGTAGATAAGTGCATCTCGAATATGGTAGAAGGACCGTACTAAACACATACTAAAAACTGGAGTAGCTGTAAAATATCGACATCACACGATAGGTAAATAATGGATTTTAGTACTGCAGAAAAATAATATCAAAAGGTACTGGTTTAAAAAAATTAAGATTAAAGTTAAGTAATCAACCTTTAAGGTATAAAATTTGGTAAGTGTTATTACTAATAAAATAGTTTGTTTTATTTATGTTGTTTTATTTATTCTTGTAGAATATTAAAAATTTGTATTTGTACATAAGTTATATAGATAAATATAATCGTAAATGCGGGAAGTTTTATAAAGCTTGAAAGTAAGAAATAGTTCTTTTTTATATTTTTTTTCGGTATCTGGTGGTGTTCTTGTTTGTTTTGTATTAACACATACCGTTTTTTATTAAATAAAATAACTCGATTACATTTTTTCTGTTTTATACAGTTTTTTTCACAATATTTTAAAGTAATCACTTGTCAGTCAAATTTTAAATACATTAATTTCCTGCTATGCGTTCCAGTTGTACCAACTTATTTCTTTGTAAAATAAAATAAACTACTTTGAAAAAAAAAATGACAGACACATCTATCACTGTCAAGGATCTTCTCGTTGGACAGACTATAAAGAATTTCACTTTGATATATTTCATTCATGTTATGCACATTTCTGATATTCACATAGTACGGTTTTTTTTGAATATAGAGTCCCTACATTTTGGTACCAAGATCGCCAGACTTGGTACCAAATTATTAATTCTTTTAAAATTAATTTTATTTTAATCTTTTAAAAATAATATATAGTATATATATATTTATTATATATATAGTATATATATATATATATATATATATATATATATATATATATATATATATATATATATATATATATATATATATATATATATATATATATATATATATATATATATATATATATATATATATATATATATAGTATATATATAGTATAGTAATATAATATTCAGAAGCGTGCAGATTTAACTTACCCTTAAGAGTGATCAACTTTGATACATACAATTTACGAACAGATATTTTCAAACACCAAATTTTTCATATTCTTATTTTATTCTATTTAACACTTAATCATTAATTATACTTAGTTATTAGTTAATCTCAGCGTTTCATTTGTGTAATTTCTAAAATAAGTATTACCCATATTCCGAGTTGATTTCTCAGTTTTCAACTTAGAAGTTTTCAAAATTAAGTGGAAAACTGAGTGGCGCTCAGTATCTTATAAAGACGTAAGTATCACAGTTTAATTTTCACTAGCTTACGACCCATTTCTCACCGGCGAACAGCTCCGTCGCATAGTGTTAGTTGTTTTACTATTTTTTCCAGAAAAAAATTCTTATAAAAAAAACATTACATCTTTTTTTATAACTTCTAATGCTACACGCTGTCTGCGGCAAATTGTAGGAATATTCTGGTCAAATACTATCAGAAATGAGGATTTATGGAGCTTAGCCGACCAAAGGCAGGTGTATAACGAGATCAAACTGAGAAAATAGAGGTAAATTGGTCACATTTTAAGGCGAAGCGGCAACAACATCGATCTATCTATTGACTGGAATCCACAAGGCAGTAGTAGAACTGGTCGTCCAAAACATACACGGCAAAAGACAACTAAATAGGGAATCGAAGCAGTAAACCGATCATGGCGAGATGTCAAATCAATTGCAAACAACCGAACCCGCTGGAGAGCGTTTATTGAAACCCTATGCTCCACGTAGGACTAAAGGACAAATGAATGTAAATTTTAAGAGTAAGGCATTAAAATATCTGGGAGTATGGCTGGACACTAAGCTAACATTTGAAGAGCATTTAAGCAAAAGTTCCGCTAAGGCAGATAGAACGGTTACGGAGCTATACTCGTTGTCGTTGAAGATTAAGGGGCCTAGGTCATCCAAAAGACGGACAAGCGTTGTGCATTCACAAATTGTATATGCCGAACCGACATGGCACAAAATTATTGAGAACAGCAATCGTTTGGAGAAGCTTGTAAAAGCGTATATTCAGCATTATGTACAAGGATGAGCAGGGCGTATAGAACCATATCAGGAGAAGGAGCTGGGATATCTGGATCGCCTAAGAGCGAGAAGAAGTGTACAGCGGTACAGAATAAGGGAATAGTCAGTGATTTGCTGATAACGGTGGTAGGAAAAAAGCATACAGGGGACCTATGGAAGATGGACTTTCACACTAATTCCAAATATGGAAAAGTAGTTGTATCGACCCTGTGGAGAGGTATACTACTATCTCACCCGAGCATTATTGGGGCTGGTTGCTTTAAAAACATTCTTTATATTAGAGGTAAAACAAACTCCCCTAAGAACAACAAATTGCTGGGGTGAACATTCTTTGTCTCCGATGGAAGCTCCGATTAGTTAAAACAATAAACTTTTCATTTATAACCAGAATTTCTCTTGGCGAATCATAATCAAAGGCAAAATGGCATTACTCGCTAATTTTGAACTAAAAGCAAAACTTGGCAAAAGTAGCTTCATTCGGAACCTCCCAATTAGTGGAATAAATTAGTGGTTTCAATTAGCGTAGAAGTTTGTTCACCCAATTTTAACGTAAGCATTCAGAACGTCATAATCAGTGGTAGTAATTTTCAATTAGACGAAAAAGTTAACAAACTTTTATGATTTTGTCAATCCAATTATACTTCAGAATTTGCGAGGAATGTCATTTTGGCCTTTGATTATCTTCCGTGATGAAAAATTTTGGATAGAACTCAAAAGTTTATTGTTTTATAAGCTAAATATTATGCTATCTCTATGGATACAACAGACAACCGCAAGCTGTTGCTAGGATATTTTATTAATTTTAATTGTGTTTTTTTAGTCATTGTTAATGATCGTAAACTAAAAAGTATAAAGTGTAATTAAAACCACTAACTTATTCCACTAATTGGGAGGTTCTGAATGAAGCTAAAAGTTGGTTAATTTTTTCTACTAATTGAAAATTAATACCACTATATTTTGACATTCTGAATAGCCAGTAATTTGCTCCTAACAACTTGGAACAAACTCCTACGCTAATTGAAACCACTAATTTATTCCACTAATTTCGATGTTAAATAAAGCTTTAACACTTAGGTTTGAATTTTTTTGATTAATTCAAACATATTTCTGGATATTTCTGCCAATTAATTCAGATTTTGGTAACGGACGATAACACCTATTCATAATAAAATTATGTGAGGTTTGTTACTTTATACTTGACAGCTCTTTTAGACCTTATTTTAGATACTTTTATTTACTTGTAATTGTTTCAGCCTCGACGATTTCAGCCTCCATACTTTCACTTCTTTTAACTTATATTTTAAGCACTAATTTTAATTCATATAACTTTAGTCTTAAAACTAAACTAAATTTTAACTACTTTAAACTATATATTTTTTATATTCGACGTCAAAATCAGTACTCGTTATATTTAAAACTCTACTGTCAGAAACCAACTTTCTGACTGTGAGTGTGTTTGGCAAAAATTTTAATAAATATGCTATTCCGATTTTATCACAGATAATTTTTTTTAAATCAATGTATATGTATCGGTAAATTATAATGTAGATTTTATTTAGTTAAAGATGATTGGATTAAAATTAAGTAGTAGCAGATACAAGGAGACAAATCAAAATTTTTAATCACATAGGTATCTCAAATTCCGATTATATAAATATTTTAATGAAAAAATAAATGACAATTAAAACTATATTGTATAAAACTGTGTGACTATTCAGGTTCTTTCAAATTGCTTTTGCTTATCGGAATCCTATCTTGGTTCAGAATCAGTATTGGTTATACCATGGTTATACCGTATATGCAGGGGCTTGGTGCATTCTCTGCTGGTGCTGCCACCATAGGAGAATATCGTAAACAACTGGTACATACAAATCTTTTTCTTCTTGTAGTACCATCTTCTAATGAAGGTTGGCAACAATCGCGGCGAAACACTGTCTGTCCTGTGCAGCTCGAAACAGTTCGTGTGAGTTCAGTCCAGTCCAGTCTCGTAAGTTTTTCAACCAAGAGTGCTTGCGTCTCCCAAGTCCTCTTCTGCTTTCTACCTTTCCCTCCATAATCAACTTCAGAAGCTTTGCTCTGCTAGTGCGCATGACATGGCCCAAGTATGCTGTCTTCCGTTTTATTATATTTGTATTTTCAAGAGTCTTCTGTAGATATACATTTCAAAAGCTTCCAACCGTCACAAGGTGTTTATTTTAATAGTGTATGTCTCACAGCCGTATAAGAGGATTGAGTATACATAACAATGGACAAAACGCAGACGTATGTTGATGTTGAGTGATCGGTTACATAATAGGTTTCTCATTTTGTTAAACATTGACCTAGCTTGTTCTATACGCGATGTAACTTCTAAGTCGGGGTCAAGGTCTGATGTTAGCCAGGATCCCGGTATTTGAACTTATTTACCGTGTCTACGCATTGTCCGTATACTCGTATGTTGGGTGGTGGAATATTTCTCCTACTAACTACCATTATCTTGGGGTTTGCGGTGTTTATTTTAAGGCCCAATGGATCTCCCGCCCGAACTATGTCGTCTAGAAGTTTTTGAAGAGCCTCAGGGTTGTCAGCGATAATCGCGGTGTCGTCTGCATACCTAAGGTTGTTAATTGGGACGCCATTTATTTTTATGTCATTGCCTTTATCTTGTAGGGCCTTATCGAATATATATCCAGGGTATACATTAAACAACAAGGGAGACAGTACACATCCCTGACGAACTCCACGTTGTACTGGTATTTCGTCTGTCTCGTCTTGCCCTAACCTTATGCATGCTGTCTGATTCCAATATAGTGTTTTTAAGAAATGGATATCGTTCTTGTCTAGACCTTTTTCTTGCAAGATGTTAAACAGCACTGTGTGTTCTACTTTATCAAAGGCCTTTTCGTAGTCGATGAAACAAATGTATACATATTTTTGTTGGTGTCTACATTTTTGTAAGAGAACAGACAGGCCAAAGATTGCTTCCCTGGTCCCCATTCCTTCTCGAAAGCCAAATTTGCCGTCATCTAAATCAATTTCACATTTTTTTAATATTCTGTGTTGAATTATTTTAAGAAGTATTTTTAAAACATAGTTCATTAGGCTTATTAATCTGAAGTGTTCGCATCTTTTTGCTGTGTTATTTTTTGGGATAGGGACAAAAATTGACTTCAGCCAATCTTGTGGGATCTCACTGCTTTTGTAGATTTGGTTTAACAGTCTAGTTAGCATAGGGATGTTTTCTTCATTTATCAGTTTGAGCATTTCAACATGTCCTTCATCCGGGCCGCAGGCTTTTCCTACTTTACTATTTCTTATAGCTCTCTCCGCTTCTGAAGTTAAGATATCAGGTGCCTCTTCAAATCCATTTTTGATGTTGAAAACTCTAGGGATTTGCGGTGCGAAGAGTTCTTCCACATATTGTTCCCAGTGCTTGCAAACTTGATTTACTTCCATTATAGGTTGATTTTTATTACCTACTAATTTATTTGTAAAGCATTGTCTTCCTTGTCCTGTCAATTCTTTGACTTTGTTTGTTCTAGTTCTTCCACCTCTATACATTTTGTTTTCATCCATTGTTCCTTTGCATCCTTAATCATACTCCTTATTTGTTTATCTAATTTTTTGTACATAGATGTGTCTTTATTCTTGTATGATCTTCTCCTATCCATCATTCGTAGTATTTCCTCGGTCATCCATTCTTTTTTCTTTTTTGTTTCTGTTGGGCCTATGCCTTCTTTTTCTATGGCGACAATTGCGTTCTTCAGGGTGTCCCAATCTTGCTCTATACGATTTCCAAAATCGTGGGTGTTTATGGCTGCTGGTTTCTGATTTACTATGTCTTTGACCTCAGATTGTTTGGGTAAATGTCGAAGCTTGGTAATATCAACTGTTGTAGGTCGTTTGGTTGTAAGTTTTTTGAGCCGCACATCTAAGGTTCCTACAACGGGGTTGTGGTCAGAGCCTACGTCAGTACCGGGATATGTCCTGACACCATGAATCCCATTCCTAAATCTATCGTGAATAAGGATAAAATCTATTTGATTTCTGACAATATTTGCATACAAATACACGGGTTTAAATAGCGAGTATACGAAAAATTTATTATATAATTATTCTAAAAGTGTTAGGAATTATAAACTAAAACAAATTTTACCATTAATACTGCAAATTATGTTTTATCCTCTCATAGTATATGCTTATTTAATTTTTTGATTATGTAATGAGCACTTTGTTTACTCACTTGTTTCGTCGAACTGCTTGAATCCATTTTTACTTTTGATCAAATCGGTGGGAGGAGCTGTGAAGCTATAAAATGTTGTTTCGGGAGTGTTGAATATCTGGGAAAGTTGAGTTATTAAATGTTATTGCACTCAACAACGCCCTAATTACGGCAAATTATTACGCACTAAATTTTCGGCAATTTTATTAACATTTGAAATTGTCACAGGACAACACGATGCCTAGTTCGGGTTCTATTTCACTTAAATTTTACTAAATAATTAATAAATAATCAATGAATTAATTTTAATGAACTGTTTAATTTTTAATAAACTACTGCTTCTTGTTTATGGACTTGATCTAAAATTATAATTATGTATCTTCAAAAAATTTATAACTTAATTTAAATAATTTATTACTTTTTCAACGTTTCAAACTACACTGGTAGGTCACTTCAAAAATACCCACAATTTTTTTTATATTTCTGTTACACCCTGTACAAGACGATCACAAGGTGTGAGTTAAAATGTATTTACTAAATCACTTCAGATCTAAGAAAACAATGCGATGATGTCAAATAGCGAAATTAATTGGTTTTCGTCTATTTTAATAATTAGATTTGCAGCGCGCGTGACAAATGATTTGATAATTTTTAATACCATGTTTATTATTAATTTTCTGCACACGCGCTTTTTTTGCCTTTGTTTTGTGAGTAAATAAATGCAAATATTTTTAGGGGTGGTATCCCAGGAATACATCTATATGCTTTTTTTCGCAAAAAAATATGTTGACAATCGTGCATTTTCTTTTAAATTTTCCTGTGTATGTTTTGAAAACTTTTTAGAACTGCCTGTTCACCGTAAGTTTTCCCAGAGTATAATTTCTCAGTCTGTGCATGATATATGTTTACAGCTTTACTCTTTACTTCGAGTTTATGGCACTGCAAAGTTTATGCAGGACTTGCAAATATGAACGCAATATATATAATATAATAATACATATAATGGAAAATAAATTTCTTGCAGTTTTTAGGTAGGTATATAATAAAATTATATAAAAGTTTCTTGCCTTGAACTGCTAATATAGAAATTAATTCCATATTGGAATTAATTTTAACTAACTAACTCTTAAGGTAGGATTTCCTAACTGCGTCGAAACGTATGTGTTCGACGCATGCGATAAACGCGATGTACTGGTTCAGTGCAATGAGGACAGGGCCGTATCTAGACCAACATTTCGGGGGGGGTTTGGCTTGGGGGGGGGGGTTACAAAAGCTGCTAGGAAAAAAGCATAATAAAAAAATCGCTTTGGGCTACACTCAAATCTTAATTGAAAATAAAATTTTAAAAAAGTAACAGGTAAAAATTATTAATCTTAAAGGATAAACTGGTCTTTTCCCTGGAAAAACGATTGACTACCTCTTCGATATCGATATTTATTTCTCTATGTACGCTTAATAGAGCAAGTCCTGTCAATCGCTCCTGACCTGTAGAGTTACGTAGGGAAGATCCTTCAATCGTCTTATGCCGCAGCCACACATGCGGCATTTAGCGAAAACTCTAGCGCTCGTCAACTACCGAACGCTCGTGATCGGACTTCGCCTTTCCATCCACACATGCGGGCTCTGATAGCAACAACATAGAGACAAGCACTCGTTCTCGTCGCCGATCGAGTCGCCGAACTCCGACTTCCTCATCCACACACATAGGAAATCGGCGAAGCCCTGATCGGAGATCGCCGAATACCGCATGTGCGGTTGCGTCATTAGGGTTGAAAAAGACCTTTCTGGTGTAGCTGTTGACGCTGGTAGAGTTGCTAGGATCATTAATAAAATGTATATATTTGGAAATATACACTGGTTACAGTCCGATTATCGTTTCGATGGCTTTTTTTAGGTCGGTCGACTGCAGGTAGCTGCTTCCATTTTGCCGCCACAAGTCTAGTTCTGCCGCTAAAGTGTCATAGCTCAAGAATTCTTTGTCTAATAGCAGAACAATAACAAACGTTAATCACGTTAATGACCAAGCAAAACACACAACATTCAAAATCTTGTCCTTGTCTTTTGCTGTTTTAAACAACTTGAATGTTGAAAGTCGAAAATCGAAAATAACATTTGCTTTCAAAGTGGAAAAAGTGAGGTTAGAGATTGGATAATGTATATTCATCAATGACTAAAAATACAAGGACAAATAGCACCCGAGACCAAACTGTGACCATTCTTTCAAATATTGCCGTGGCACATATTTTACTTA